GCCGGTTTGGCCGGGCCCGATGTACCCAAGCGAATCACTGGTGCAGAGAAATTGATGTTTGGCATATTGACGGGCGGCTGGAAGTTCGGCGGGAAGCTTCCTGGACGACCAGGCTGGGCATTTGCTTGCTGCATGCCGGGAGGAGCAGCGGTTCCTGGAGCAGCCATCCCTGGAGGAGGTGCTGGAGCTAGTCAGTTTCAAATTGAAGATAAAATAATGGAAAAGCGAACTCACCCATGCCCGGAGGCGTACCATATGCACCATAGTCAGGTGCGCGTCCATAAAGACCCGGAGCTATGTAAGAGTTAGTTTCTTCAGATTATCAAAACCTTCTTCTCAAAAGACCAAGAAAAAAAGCAGTCTTACCTTGGTAAGGATTGTACATCGTGCCAGGTCGTACCACTGAGAAAGTGATGTTGATCAAGTCTCAATTCAAAGATCGGCAACAAGAAAAGCACGGGGCGGTGAGGTTCGCGGTGAATTGTCCCGATAGATGCGGCAGGTGCGCTGTTGCGCTGTTTGGATTGCGAATGCCGCCTTCCTCCGGAGTACACTTTGTGTACATCTTGTGCTCGACCTGTTTACACTCAAAATAACAACAATTGAATGTTTAACATTAAGAATACCTTAGCGAGGAAAAGGAATATTGAATGTAGACTTGTAGTAGCAGTATCTTGTTAAGCAGTTCAATGTATTGGTTTTCTTGAGAATAGGACCATTTTAACTAGAAGCTATAGCCGTTCAATTTTCAATGCCCCTCCAAGAATACAGTTCTGGAATCAAATTGGTCCGGGCCTAAAATAGTAATAGCGATAGCCTACGGAGTTTGAGATTAAAAATGGCCCAATTGGTATACCGGGTATAGATGTTTCAGTACATTCTGAAAATAACAGGAGTAAATAACAAATTTGAAAAGCTCCGATAAGAAAAACCATCGTAGTAAAACGAGTAAAACGATAAAAACAAGTAAAGTGGCTGAAAGTGAAATAACAGCCTGAATGCGGCAATAATGATGTTTGCCCCACGACCGGACCCCAACACGCCGGATGCAACTGACGCCATTTGCTTTTCTTACCTTTTTTTTGTTTCTTTACTCTTTACTCTGTCTCTCACACATTTTCTTGTAAGTTTACAATTCTTTGATACATTTAAACCTCACTTTCTTCTTTAAATCCCGTTTGCCCCGCACTAACACTCTGCCCATAGAACCCCTCATCGTCATCATGCCCGGCTTTTCGCAAACCAGTGACCTTCCTGCCTGGAAGGAGCTCCAGGAGCACCACACTACCTTGGGTCGCAACCTGGTCCTCAAGGATCAATTCCAGAAGGACCCTAAGCGTTTCGAAAACTTCAGCCACAAGTTCGCCAATACAGTAGATAACACCGAGATCCTCTTCGATTTCTCCAAGAACTTCCTCACCCAGGAGACTGTCTCTCTTCTGGTCAAGCTCGCTAAGGAGGCCAATGTTGAGGAGCTCCGTGATGCCATGTTCCGCGGTGATCACATCAACTTCACCGAGGACCGTGCTGTCTACCACGCTGCTCTGCGCAATGTTGCCAATGAGCCCATGCAGGTTGATGGCAAGAGCGTGGTTGAGGATGTCAACTCCGTGCTCGAGCACATGAAGGAGTTCTCTGAGCAGGTCCGCAGCGGCGAGTGGAAGGGTTACACCGGCAAGAAGATCAACACCATTATTAACATTGGTATCGGTGGTTCCGATCTGTAAGTTTACCTGCCCTTCGTGAACCAGGAATTGTAGCTGACAGCAGCACCTAGTGGCCCTGTAATGGTCACCGAGGCTCTCAAGCCTTACGGCCACCCCGACATTAAGCTCCACTTCGTCTCCAACATTGACGGCACCCACATCGCCGAAGCTCTCAAGGACTCCGACCCGGAGACCACCCTTTTCCTGATTGCCTCTAAGACCTTCACTACCGCAGAGACCTGCACCAACGCCAACACCGCCAAGTCTTGGTTCCTCAAGTCTGCTAAGGAAGACTCACACATTGCTAAGCACTTCGTGGCCCTGTCTACCAACGAGTCCGAGGTCACTAAGTTTGGCATTGATGCCAAGAACATGTTCGGATTCGAGTCGTGGGTTGGTGGACGTTACTCCGTATGGAGTGCCATTGGTCTGTCCGTTGCTCTGTACATCGGTTACGATAACTTCCACCAGTTCCTAGCTGGTGCCCAGGCCATGGACAAGCACTTCCGGGAAACCCCCCTCGAGAAGAACATCCCCGCTCTTGGTGGTTTGCTGAGCGTCTGGTACAGCGATTTCTTCGGTGCTCAAACCCACCTGGTCGCTCCCTTCGATCAGTACCTGCACCGCTTCCCTGCCTACCTGCAGCAGTTGTCTATGGAGAGCAACGGAAAGGCCATCACTCGCACTGGCGAGTACGTCAAGTACACCACCGGACCCATCCTGTTCGGTGAGCCTGCCACCAACGCGCAGCACAGCTTCTTCCAGCTTCTGCACCAAGGCACCAAGCTCATCCCCGCCGATTTCTTGATGGCGGCTGAGTCCCACAACCCCGTCGAGGGTGGCAAGCACCAGCGCATGCTGGCTGCTAATTTCCTTGCTCAATCCGAGGCTCTGATGGTTGGAAAGACCCCTGCTCAGGTCAAGGCCGAGGGTGCTGCGGAGGAGCTTGTTGCCCACAAGACTTTCTTGGGCAACCGCCCCACCACCTCCATTTTGGCTCAGAAGATCACCCCCTCCACTCTGGGTGCTCTGATCACCTACTACGAGCACGTCACCTTCACCGAAGGTGCTGTCTGGAACATCAACTCGTTCGACCAGTGGGGTGTCGAGTTGGGCAAGGCCCTTGCTAAGAACATCCAGAGCGAGCTGGAGACCGCGGGCGAGGGTGCTAACCACGACAGCTCGACCAGTGGTCTGTTGCTTGCTTTCAAGCAGAAGGCCAATCTGGCTTAGAATGTTTTAACCTTATATGAAGGACCGTGAGATGTGTGTAGTTTTGACGAGCAACGATTTTCCACATATTTTTCTTGGTTTGAGAACAAATGAATGATTCACCAAATTTTCGTTACCAATTAATATTTTGTATTCCGAATCACTTTATAAAATAAGAATATTTAAGTTATACAAGTGGAAGTACCGAGGCGGTTGGAAGTCACAGCAAGGGGAAACCCGCTTTGTTGTCCGCAACTCCGCAACGCGGTAGAGCTTCGTCCTTTACTCCTGCGCAATCCTCGAACTCTGGAAATTCGCCGACGCTGGGCGAATACCATCCTACAATTGAAACCAAAAAAAAGCGTCAATGTCTCCTACACACCAATTGAGCCCGTCTTCTGCAGCGTTGGCGCTGCTATCGCTGACAGGCGCATTGTGGCCAACCGGCGCACTTGCGGGGAACACCAATGACCGCAGCGAGGGATACAAACTGAGAGAGGATATCCCAGTATCATGTCTAAACCGGACAATGTGAGATCATTCTTCAAGTAATCCCTACAGCATGGCTAACCATCGCTTGTTCTACATCACAGGGAAGGAGAACATGTAAGCGCCACCAGCCTGCCTACCATCTCCTGAAATAAAGACAATGGCGCAGACCACCAAAAACCACGAAGCTAATAGTAATTGCGAAAACATCCAGGTCACCGACAATCTCGGCAAACTCCAATACGTCCCCTTCGTGACCTGCAACGAAACCGCCCGCCCTCTCTCCCTCCACTACGGCGTCTCCGAAACAATAACATGCACCATCGCCTCCCTCTCCGATGAGCTATACCATCTCCTCGAGTTCTACGTGCACTCAGATGTGCCAATGACCTGCCGCGTGCCAACAGCGCCGCTAACACCATCCGCCGGCGCAGCACACCCAGACAAAGACTCGGACCAGAAGTCAGGAGAGGCAGACACCCTCTCCGCACTAGCGGACAACGGGCCACCATTCACGCCGCTCACAATCGCGCTGCAGGGCACGCTCCAGCTGAGCCATTTGCATATCTGGACGGATATGAACGTCGTCATGCACAACATGGCCTCGGACGCAGCCGCAGAACAGAACACTAAGACCAGACCCGGCCAGTCTGGACAGCCCGGGTTCGTGGTTGGCGGTATTGCCTACTCGACTCCGGAGTTCGACAATACCGGCAAGAATGCCAAGCTTGACGAGGACGAGGAGGCTGTTGCTCTTGCTCAGGCGGCGCGCGAGCCTTGGACTGCTGGACATGGCACTAAGGTTGTGCGCGGGGAGCCGCTTACCTTCTCTTTCCACGTTGCGTGGCTGGAGGGTGGTGCCAGTATTGGGTGGCCGACACGTCCTGCTTCGGAGTCATGGCTGGCTTTGGCAACTGGATCTGGGAAGAACTCTGGGTCTTTCTTTTTTAAGCTAGTGTTCTTTGTTATGGCTGCTTCTGTTGGCGCGCTAGTTGCGTTGTTCTGGGAGCGTAATGGTGGGCGTGGACGTGGCCGAGCCATTTGGCATGGAGATGGGCTTTTGGGTGGAACTCCCACGCGCGGAGCGAAGGGTCCTGGTGTTGTCTTTGGCAATGGGGGGAAGAACAATGGGTACGGTGGTTACTCCGGCCCTCCTAGTAGCAATGGGAGTGGAAACGGGGTTGGAAGTGGATATGGGTTCCCAAGTGGGAAGAGGGATTGATATGTAGAACCGAGGGGAATGGCGTATAGCCTGGGTATAGAGTGGCGTCTACGACGTGTACAGTGTACCTAACTTGAGAGGCAGAATTGACCAGCAGAAAGCTAGTGCTCTACCATGGACATATCATGATGCTATGTCCCAAGTGATCGAACAAATCCAATGCATTCCATATCTAATGCAAGAGCCAAATTCAAGAGAAAAACTAAGTACCTGGATAATAGTTGTACAAGTAACAAAGAAAACACCAATTTTCAGGCAAATGCCATCCTGTCCACTCAGTCAATCACCCACACCAGCCTCCTCAGTATATACATACAACCCGAGTAGACATGGAAAAGCACAACAGCCCAAGCAAAAGAGCGGGCATAAAACTACCAACCCTGCGCCTGCATACGCTGAATCTTCTTCACAGTCCCCTGGAAGGAGAACTTGAACAGCTTCTTCCACCGCATCATCTTCTGCTGCTTGCGCACCATACCCTTCCGCACATGGAACTTCTGGCTGTGAGCATCATTCCGAACGCTATTCTGCGCGAGAGTAGCCTGAAGCTTGCGCAGCGCCGCACCCAAGTCAGTACCACGCTCAGGCTCAACATGAACTTGACGACCAAGCGTGGGTCCGAGCTTCAGCTCGACCTTGCGTGTAGGAAGAGGCGCCCGAGACCGCGCCCGGTAGCTGCTCTGTGCGCCTTCGCCGACAGCACGGGAAAGCGAGTCTGAGAAGATCCGACGCTGGCTGCTGGGTGCTTCTCGGGGCTTGTTGAGGTCGAGTCTGCTAAGGATGTCGTCGAAGTCGGAGACCGGCTTGCGAGATTGCTGTGCGGCCCGGGGGGCGGACTCGCGGGCAGCTGTGTGTGGCCCGTCGACGTTGGACGGGGTTTGGGCTTGCTTCGCGGCCTCGGGGGCTGTGCTTGGCTGGTCGGTGGGAGATGTGGGTTTGAAGGGTGGGCTTGGAGATGAGGTGGAGGAATTGTAGCGCACTCCGTTGTTGAGGAAGGCGACGCGGTGCAGCTGGGTCTGCTGTTGGAGGCATGGTGTTGGCCTGGCCCGGAGGCTGCGGGCCAGGAGGCGGAAGTCCATTTTAATTGGACTCGCTTGTGTCAAGGAGCAGATATATGGGGGTGAATTGGACTGTCTCCTGCGCTTGAGAAGGAAATATTGGTCAAGGTGGGCGTGTAGGGTCGGAGGTGCTCGATGTTGCCGTGACGGAAAATCATCGTCCCCCGATTGGAAAGGAAATTGTAGGTCACGTGCCATATGGTTTTGGGGCATTTGCTGAGATCGCAAATATCGCACCTACATATCTCGTGAACTTACAAATATCGGTCTCTTTCCATCTTGAATACCTCTCTGGACATATAAATCCCATAAAAGTGCGCCAAAAAAAGAATGTCATCCATCTCGATTGCAACTCTCCCCCGCATGGGCCGTGATGTTCTAGCGGCCCTGCTATCAACTAGCGAACTAAGCAATCTAGCGATTGTTGACGTCCGAGACTCAGGTGAATAACTGTTCTTCAAAGTATACTTGTAAACTATCAGCTAATAGTTGAAACAGACCACATTGGTGGTCACATCCACTCATCAACTTGGGTCCCCAGCTCAAGTCTGGACGTGCGCATGCCTGAGCTTATCCGCACTCTCAAAGACAAGAAAACCGTTGTCTTCCATTGTGCACTCAGTCAGCAGCGTGGTCCCTCTGCTGCCCTTCGCTATGCCCGCGAGCGCGAGAGCGCGCTTGGCGCAGAGGAGAGCCAGAAGCAACAAGTATTTGTGCTCGAGGGTGGGTTTGTGGAATGGCAGCAGAAGTATGGCAACGATACTAAACTGACCGAGGCTTATGTTGCGGATATTTGGGAGGAATATTAGCTAGGCCTTGTTTTTCATGAGATTAACGAACTGGATGGGAGAGATACCACTTAGATGCATTGATGCTTTTCATTTTCGCTTTTTACATATTACTCTGGAAGATTGGGACCGAGGAGCTATATTCGATTGTTTCTATATGCTAGGCGAATCCATATTATTATGTTTGATGGAAATGAAAATGTATTGTACATGAAATGAACAGGCTATGCTCTGAGCCTATCGAAGGACAAGATGGATATATTTGCGAGTTTACATTTGAATGCCGCCTCCAAACCCAACAGGCCGTCTCTGTCCTCCGTTTTCAGGTACAATGGCCATGACCTTGTAGATCTGTCCCATAGACCCTCCGCTCTTCTCAACCAATCGCTTCCAGCCAGTCTCTAGTGTCTTTCTGTGCTCTTCATCCTGCACTTTGCGGAGGAGCTGTCGCATGCGCTCTTCAATACCCATAGCCCCGAGGAAGTCACCCTGTTCAACAGGACCGTGGACCTCGACGCCATCGCTACCTTCGATGGCCGCTTCAGCCAGCGAAGTGAAATCTACATCCGCACTGACATCCACACGTCCCGGTTCTGAGAGAGGTGCAACTTTCTTGTGACTTTTGATTCCGCGCAACGAGTTGATAGGGATAGTTGACAATGTCCCGTAATCCATGATCAACGCTGCGCCAGATGGAGTCTTCTTTTGTGATGAAGGGGGTTGGGCAGAGGTCTTTTTAGCAGCAATCGCAGAAGCAGAATCACCACCGATGCGGCGCGCAAAGTCTGCAGCATAGATTCGACTCTCGGGGCTGATTTCAATGGTCGAGCCTGGCCGCGATTTGAGTGCTCGGTAACGCTCAGAGATCTCTGGAATCACTAGCGATGACGGTGTGGAAGCTTTGGCTTTGGTCAATTGGAACTCGGGCTCTCCTTCAATGTTCTCTTCGACGGCTTTTGGATTTAATGTCACCATCAACTCACGCCATTGCGGGGTGTTCACGTGTTTGGGTGGATTATGGAGTTCTACTGGGCCGGTGGGAGTCATGATCTTTCGTGGCTCATCGGCCTGCTGATTCTCCGGTGATGGGGGAACAGACTCGAACGCATGGATTGGGAGCGCATCGAAGAATTCATGTGCGAAGATGAAGGGTGTCTTGCCTTCCTCTATATCACCGGTGTCTCTGGTTAGCACCACACAAACGGGCCATGGATTTAGGATAATTACTCACCATGTGGTAGAAGACGAATATCCTCCACCCAGATAACAGGTACATCAAAGTACTTGCACACACTCCGGTGCCCGATATCTGTCTCCTCCATCACAGCCTCCTCGCCGCACAGCAGCCGCTTCTGCACTTCTCTGAGCGTCCCGCTAGCTTCCACGAGATAAATAGCCTCAACACTTGAAGAAAAGGACTTGAAGTTTCGGAAAGTCTGTTTATAGAAATTGTGGCCACCCAATGAGCTTCTTGTTCTCTTTTTCTCATAAAGGCAAGACAGGAATAAATGATACTACTCACCCGCAGCATATCATCCATCAGCGTTCCCTTTCCTGGGCCAACTTCCATCAGCTGAACACCACTCCTTGTCCGTCCCTGTGCCATCCACTCGGCGATCGTCCATATACCGATCAACTCTCCAAAAACCTGTGAGATCTCGGGCGAGGTAACGAAATCACCGTTTTTGCCAAAGACACCCCCACCCTCGCCCCGAGTCGTATAATATCCGCCATCTGGGGAGGTCAAGACCTGGCGCATGAACGCGGCGATTGGGACGGGACCAGTGACCTAATTTTCAGAAGCGAATGGTCAATAAAAGTGCTGTGAGAAGTAAAGCGAAGTGTATAGGTACCTTCATGACACTGGCCAATGTTTTCGCTAGCGGAGTGGACCATTCTCTCTGTTCAAACGTGGAGTTCCATCTTCCCACGCTTCCCAGACGTACTGTGTTGCGAGGTCTGCGGAGGATATGCGACGCTACGCGCCTCGTGGCTTGGTTCATTCTTGGCTTGGTATCAAGTGGCAATTGTTCCTATCACCAAACGTGCAATAGCGGAGCTATTTTCGGCAGGTACACGAAACGGCCGGGCCCCAAATACCTGTTCTATTGAGTCGCGCCAAGTCGAGATGTTTGTCTCAATCTCTCCGCGGAAGCTCCGCTGCACGTGATCATATACTTATCTGACTGTTATCGAACGCTAGTCTTAATATGGTATGGCTCAGCAAAACCCTAACTGACTTCTTCAGGTTGACAGGTACGACCACCAGGGACGAAGGTACATACTACATCGTACAATACCCGCAGGCATTCCAGATTTTCACTATGTGCACCATTTCCTATGATTTAGGATAGTGACGCATTCTGACTTCTCTGTGCTCCATACTCAAACAGGAATATAGGCAGCCATAGCTTGGTACTTTGTCGACCTATACTTCAAATTCGGGTATAAGCAAATGGAGCCTGGTATAATATTATTTACGTACAAGTTAGGGGTATCAACATCTCTGCGGGTTCCCAGCCCTCCAGATGATATCTAGATCCGGAGAGTATGAGAACCTTCCGCGCATGCGTAGAGTTGTGATAATCTTGGTCGTTGATGTTGACAGGAACTCATCCTACTTCGAACGTCGTATTGTCCATACGTCACTCATGTCTACTCCCAACACGATGACTGCCACGGATGTCTACCTATGCGGTGACCTTGTCTGGGATAAAGATTCAGTCACTTACTTACTGGGCACACGGAAATGGATTGCCAGACTAAAAAAGTTGAAACGGGGAACTTTCTCGCTCGTAGCGGTGCCTTGAAGGCATAAGCATATATATTTACATACTATACTACTTCCATTTTTGGGGGATACTAGAACTACGACAACGGATAGGCAGGCGGAGATCGATCCCTGGTTATATATTCTCATGTCACTTGGTTATACTTGCGTTCTCCTCTCGTGTAGTCTAGGTTTTCATTGCTTTACTTTATATTGGGCTTCGGTTGCTTAAAGCCTTCCTACTCCTTGGAGGAAGGTGACGCGGAGTTTCAGGGTCTGATTATAACGAGTGATGTTGAGTGAGACTAGATGTATACACTTACCCTTCCCAATGTTACTGCGAGGCTTAAATGCCATAGGCATGTGTTGGTGGCTAGTTTCACTACCGTTATTTCAAAGCGGACGTATGTGAGCAACTCGCGGAGGGGCGACGGGTAATACTGTAGCATGAGAGAGTTCGGATTGATCTGTTGCTGAAGAAATTTGCTTAAAAAAACATTAATATTTTGTCCGATTTGTCCTGTTCGCCGCTATCTGTTGCAAAAAAGTGTGCTCCGAATGCTAAAAAATGTCCATAAACTGCTGACCATATCATACATTTCATGAGAGTGCAAGAAGAAGCATGATCTTCACGACCATTCCGCGCATGGATACTCCATACACCCGCAAGGCTAGCCCATCCTCAGGTTATCATGCTCAAACTTGGGTGCTCAACGACGTCTCCGTTGGTTCTGGTTCTTCTGGGTATTCCGCGGCGGCGCATCGACCATCATTTCATCGCTGTATAGGCCAGTTTGCGGGTTTCCCTGGTTCTCGGCTAGAAGATCGTTCATATGGCCTGGGCCACGACGGGCTCGGAGTCGTTCCTGATCAGCTTGTGCTCGAAGTGCGGCGAAGGGATCTTGGTGGGTTGTGGGCTTGGCCGATTTGAGTGTCATTGTGAGTAGTCTTCCATCGGCCTGGAAAGCAAGTGTCAGTTCCTTCTTTTCTTCCGGGATCATCGAAGCAAGAGTGGCATTTACCCTCTGGTTGTGGAAATTGGCAACCACCAGCTCTGCGGCCGTTTTCTCCGCATATGCAAATTCCGCAACAACACTCGGCTGGTTTGCTACTATCTGGCAGCTAAGCATGGGTCCTGTTATGGGTTCGAGAGCAGACTGGATGTCGGCAGCTGTTGTCCCAGGCGCAAAGTTCCTTCCGACGACAATGAATGGGCCCGAGGCACCCTTAATGCTCATGTTCATGCCACCGACCGGACGGCTGCTCGGTGTGATGTTGCCTGATCGCGCATTCCCTAAGCCATTCCCGGTTTGGAAAGCTGTCCGGACCTGGTCCACATTCACGCGTTCTTTCTTGCCGGTTTTGCCGCGTGCTCGGTTGTTGCTGCTGTTTGGGGTGGGTGCTGGCTTGTTCTTGGGTTGCACAGTTGCTGACGCAGAGCGCTAAAGGTTGGCGATAGAGATTGTCAGGGATTGTTCCTCAATGGTGGTCGCGCATGGTGGAATTGTTCATACCTTAGCTACTCCGATCCTGCTAGCTAGGCTTCCGGGCTTTGCATTCTGTGTTTTGTTTTGTGCTTTCTTGCCGGCGCCGGAGCCCGAGCCTGGCGCGCTGGATCTGCGGTTCTTTCCAAGGAGTTGGTTTGCGAGCTCCTCTTGCTTCTTCTTCTGACGATCTGAGGAAAACAGTTAGATTTTGCGAGTGTCAGCGCTAGGTTTCTGAATGATTACCAGCTTGGATAATGTCGTCAAAGGAGACCGGTTGCTTGGTCGCCATGGTGGATAAATGAATTAAATTAAGAAATAAAAGGAAAGAAATAAAGTTGGAATGGTGAGGTTGAAGGAAGAAAAGAAGCTTGGGGGGCCGATCAGAGTTGGGGCTGATTAACCTGTCCGGAACTCCTTGATTATATCCACATCTACATCTTGGCCCCACGCTTATTTTTTTTCTATCTTTTTCTATGTTGCTCTATATTACTTTATGTTATTCTATTTTAAATGTTTTCTCTAGTACATCAACGCTAAATTCTACCTGATTAAAACTCAAGGGATAAGAGGAACGGAACATATCTCCGGGGTGGACTATATTGTACAAGAAACAAAGACAAGTTTTGCTATTATTTACTCCTTTATCATGTGAAAAAGCAGTTATCCCAACCGAAGAGTAAATCCAGCCCCTGCTTCACCGGTATCTCCGCCAGGAGCACCCCCAAAGACACCCGCAAAGTCCAGCTCTGGTGCTTCCTGGCCCCGTTTAGGAGCCTCGGGGGTGTGGTGACGTCTTCGTTTCTCCATGCCGGCCTTGGATGGGAACGTAGGGAACATCTCTCGCGGTTTGGGGCGCGGATCTTCCTTGAAATATGGGTGCTCGAGGCACTGTTTTGCCGTAGGACGGGAGGCTGGATTCAGCGCGAGCAATTCTGACATAAGTGTTAAGCCCGCATTGGTTAGGTAAGGGAAACGGGTGCGAGGCAATAGGGGCGGATTGCCGACCGCAGATGATTTCGATGTCGACGGGAGCCGCAAAGACTTGGCGTTAGGCAATGAACGGAATCCAGGCCATGTCTCAGAGTTGGGTGGCCCGGTCAAGGCGAAGATCTTGGACACCTGGTCGACTTCATTCTTGCCCTGTAAGAGAGGCTCTTTGGTGAGCAGTTCGCCAAAGATACAGCCAATGCTCCACATGTCAATCTCTGTGCCGTATTTCTCGGCACCGAGGAGCAGCTCTGGCGCACGGTACCAGAGTGTCACAACGAGCTGTGTCAGCTTGGGAGGTGGATCGCCGAAGTAGCGCGCCATACCAAAGTCGGCAATTTTAAGTTCGCCTCGGTTGTTCATTAATAGGTTGGAAGTCTTGAGGTCGCGGTGCATGATCCACTGTGAATGTAGGAACTCGAGTCCTCCAACCACTTGCAGTAAGACAGTCTTGATCTCCGAGGGAAGGAATGGCTCGCGCATCTCGTCGAGCAGGGCTTTGAGGTCGTGTTCGTGGAAATCCATCACTAGATAAACACTGTCGGAGCCAATTGATTAGCACATGTATAGAATATAGACGCGGAGAACTCACTCATCCATCTTATTTCCCATTACCACTTCCCGTAGGTAAACGACATTTTGATGTCGCGCCTCCAGGAGTGTTTGGATTTCCCGAAGCCCAGTGACTGGGAACCCGTCCGGCGAGTTCTCCAGCTTGAGCTTCTTAAGCGCGACAATTTCTCCCGTCGAAATGTCCTTTGCGCGTGAAACCCATCCATACGAGCCCTCCTCAATGTGGTTCAATCGTTCGAAGTTATCCACATGCCTGCAGGGCCCCCATTCTCCAACCGGGAAGCGCAGTAGCGCCGACTGATTTTTCTCTTCCTTCACGGTCTTCGCCAATTCTGCTCCATCTGGATGGGCATCGGGGTCGTTGGAGAGTCTTCGTCGCTTCTTCGGGGGTCCTAGTTCGCCATTGGCTGAGGTGGCATCCCGAGCTTGAGCTTTGTTGGCATCTTCGAGACGCTGTTTCTCTGCTTTAGCGCGTTTTTTTCGTTCTTTCTCGCGTTTTTGTTGCGCGATAATTGCTTCTGTTTCTGGGTCGTCGGCTGCCCATCTGGATGACATTGTTTCGCGGGGGGAAATGTTGAAGGGTGAGAAATTCGGAAATGACGTTTCCAGAAGCCGAGTTCCTTCGATTTGAAATCCAACGCCCCGCCTGAATTTGTATAGCGCATTTGCTTCGTTCTGGTCTTTAGCCTAGTCTTTTATCTGATATTTTCTCTTCGGAAATATTATCTTTCTCTCTTTCTCTTTAATATCCTTCGTGCACATACGCCTATACTTGCCACCAGTTTCGGATCTACTGTCTCTTCCCCGCCATGATCGAACCATTCCAGGTCAGTCTGAGCTCCATGACTCACAGACACCAAATATTAATGCGATTCTGATTTCTAGACGACCTTCTCGGTCCCAATGACCTGCGAAGGCTGTGTGAAGTCTATTTCCACCTCTCTAAACAATCTGGAAGGTAGTCATCCCACCTCAAACCCACCATCATCTAAGCTGACCCCGCGAAAGGAATCAATAAGGTTGAAGCAAACCTCAAGGACCAGCTAGTCTTTGTTGAGGGCACCGCTCCTCCCAGCTCTATCGTAACCGCGATCCAAAACACCGGCCGCGATGCCATCCTCCGCGGCAGCGGCACTACAAACAGTACGGAATCCCCGGTTCCCAATTACTGTCACATGCGACACATATGAGCAATGCCAACTGATATACACCATACAGGTTCTGCTGTCTGTATCCTCGAAACGCACTCAACGAGCGTCTCAAACAATATCCGCGGGCTCGCCCGAATGGTCCAGGTCTCGCCGAACATGACCCTCATCGACCTGACAATCAATGGCCTAGCACCTGGAAAATATTGGACAACTATTCGAGAAGCAGGAGATATCTCCCGGGGTGCCGAGTCTACCGGTGGTATTTGGGAGGCTGTGAAGAGTAAGGTTCTTGGTGACACTGCCGCTACCCCGGCCAAGGAGACTCGTGGAATTCTCGGTACCGTGGATGTTGACAATAAGGGCCGGGGAAGTGTGTTCTTGGACCGACCAGTGGCGATCTGGGAGCTTATTGGTCGTAGTATGGTTGTTTCAAAGGGGACGGAGGGACCTTTCAAGCGCGAGGATGAGAATACCCTTGTTGGCGTTATTGCGCGCAGTGCGGGTGTTTGGGACAATGATAAGATGGTTTGCTCATGCTCGGGTAAGAATGTCTGGCAGGAGAGACAGGAGCAGGTTGTCCTGGGTATGGCTTGAGTTCGGTTGGCTTTATCAGGAGTAGTCATGTAGCTATATCGATTACCCAGTGATACATGTAGCTTGAAACATACTATGATACCACGAAGTATAAATGTGGTTATGAATGACAGAACGATTCTATTTCACTTTCAATTGGATATCACGTTGTGCCTATGACTTCTATCTCTGGTATTTGTTCTATTGTAGTAGTAAAAACTTGCCAGCCTAGATAGATAGAGTCCTGGATAGAGCAATTATATTTACAGTTGAACCAGTCTTCCTCTGACTACGCCTGTTGGGAAATCCTCCAACCTGGAGTTGAATATACATCAAATCATTAGCACAAAAACTGTAGAAGAAGTCCATACATAACTAGAGCATCGAAAGAAAGGAGACACTGCTGTGATAAAAACATCATTCTGGAACTGCTAACATTTGAAGGGTAGGTAATAATACAATGTGGCCAAAGGGGACAGACACGGGACCCTATTGGTTTGGACATCCCCATGAAAAGGTATCAATGAACAACTTGAACTTCACCAAGCCTGTCTTGGTTGCACAATTCCAGGATAAAACTCATCATCTGTATCCTCTTCAACAAATTCGAATCTTGCACCGGGTATATCATTGGGAATGAGCTGTAGGGACATAATCCCTGGAGAGATTGCCTCAGTTAAATCTTGAGAACCTCTGATATCACCACAGTTGCCGGTGCCGTTATGTACTGATTTCACTGGCTCGTCGCCTCTGTCGGGATACTGGTTGTTTGTTTTGCCATCGAAAAGGAAATACCCATTTCCATCCTCCACCGGGCTCGGGAACAGAATCTCAGAGTCTATCGGAGACCATGTATCGTTTGACATCGATTCTATTGAAGTCATTTCCGTTGATGTGATATCTCGTGATGTGGTATCGTCAGGTGTGTAAAGGCTTGAATGATCTCCAACACTTGACCATTGTGCAGTTGCTCTTTCGGAGATGGACGACCATCTTTGAGCGAAATTCCGGTTGGAGATGCAATTGAGGGGATTGGGATAAGGAGATGGCTGCCTCTCTTCAGAATGGGTGATAGGAGTTTGCGGGGACACCAGAGGTATGAGACCTTCATCCGAATCGTAATCATGGTATGGAGGCATGTTGCTGTATTCATCCTGGTGCACAATGCATTCAAGAGGCTCTTGAGAAGCGAATGGGGTTTCTTCTTGTTCATAGATTCTAGGGCTGTGTTGACTGGGGCCTGAACTGTGCTGACTGGGGCTAGAACTGTGCTGACCGGGGCTGGGACTGTGTTGACTGGGAATGGGACTGGGATGATTGGGGCTGGAAATGTCTTGACTAGTGTTGGGACTGTATTCACTGAGATTTAGGCTGTATTCACTGAGATCGGGAATGTGTTGACTAGGGCTGGGATCAGCATTTTGCCTCGCCCACTGGTCGAGTGCCTCTTGATATATTCCCGGAAATGCAAATCGAACTTCGGCGGAGGACTGTCTAGAGATAGGATTTGAGTCTGTTTGATCATCACTGAATTGTGCATCCGAAGTAGTATGACTGATATTTTTTTGCTGAGGATTTGTTGCTTGCCGTTCTTCCAAAGACGGAGGATGGTCTGCCGGGCCACATGCAGACATTTGAATCTCTTCATTAGTAGAGATAGCAATGCCCCATGTCTGCTCCATCAAATGGTTTTCTGTCGGTGTTATGGCATGAGTAAAGTTCTCCTCAGAATTCGTATTCGCCCCCAACTCTCCAGCTCCATCAAATTGGAAGTCAAGATCTCGGTCGTTGGCTAGTGGATAAATTAACTTTACCGTAGAGTTAGTTACAGCTCGGCCGGAAATATCAGAGACTTTGGATGCAGATGCAGATGCGGGAAGTGCTGCGGGCGAATTATGGGTCGAGCTATGGATCGAGTTGATAGATGGGACGCGAACAAGAGACGACACGTCAGTATTGGTCGAGGTAGAAGCTGTTGGAGGATCCATGCGAGACAACTCGGCGCCAAAGGTCAGATCCTCTTGGGTCTCTGAAGTATAGGCCCCGGATGAAACTCCATAGAACTGCCTTTCACGTCTGAGAGCAACAGGGCTAACAAGAATTTCCTCGGGTTTTTCTTCATCACTCGAACGGTGAGTAAAACCTGACCTCAAGGCTGACAGACCGGAGCGTGCTCTGCGGAGAGATCGTCTGGAAATAGATTGGACCCATGTCATTGGACTGCGCAATTCCGAAGACGAATTCCGTTCCTGGGCACGCCACGACGAGTTCGCAAGCTCTGGATTGTGACGAGGATCTAGGGGATTAAAAATAGGATAATGAATTCTCTCTTGGCAAGTTGGCTGTTCCTGTACTGCAACAGTCAGGCTGCCATCTTAGTTAGCAGGGTATTTCTTTCATCTGCCAATTTGTCTTTGTCATTACCTGGCCCTCTTGCTTGCCTGGGGGCGGAAGACCGATGATAACGACAAAAGCTGGCGACGTATGGTGCCTGGGCCTTTCTGCTGGTGGTCGGGACTCATCTTGTTCAGATTGTTCTAGGACGTGCGTCCAAGAGTTCGAATGTCCAATGAGATAAAGAAAGCTTGTGAATGATCAACAAAGTTAGATACGAATTATGCCAACGCGTGAATATGTGACGTCAAAGAAAAAGAAAAAGAAAACAAAAGGTCTGGGAGTTTGCTTAAGATCACGCGGTTGAAGTCGGAGCGACGCGTGATCGAAATCTACAGTGTCGAGCTTGATCGCTCTTGCCCTCGAGATCCATACTTGACCTCCGATTGTATACTGTCTACATAGTACGGGTATGGTATTGTTCACATTATAGACTTAGCTAGAGATATCAACCTAACTAGGTTTTGGATATCGAGTATATCAATGAGGCTATAAGAAGGCAAGGGATATGGGCAGACAATTATGGGCTTCAATTCACGAGAAATATTAGTTCTAGGGTTCGCCATGGCAACGTGAGCGAACATGGCAAGTGCGCAGTTAAGGCAGGAACACCAGCAGAGATCTCGGAGCGTGACTATAACACTAGGGTTCGCCATGTCAACGTGACTAAACACGCGACGGCACCTAGGCAATGGTGACGAATAATAACTATAGATGCCTAATATATCTACCATGAATCCCAAAGAGCTTCAATCTTAGCTTATAATTTGCTCCTCTCTTCCAAATGCAACCCCTGTTTGTAGAAAATACTATAGATCGTAAGGATATTGTTGTTAGATTTTGCCGAAGACATCATTATTCGATATCCCGCCAGCTATTCGGGGCTTTCCTCGTGCATACAGCTTTGTACACTTGTTGAGCGAGCTGTTGAGCCATTGAATCAATCGGATGGGCAAACCGAAGGGTGTGGTGGAAGACAGTGAACGGACGACTAGCACTAGCAATGATGATGCCGGTATTCCTGTTGGTCACCTTAGTGTTTACTTGTATGTGGCAAGGTCTCTTGAGATTGGGTTGATGATTAGTCGTTATAGCCATAGCTTCTAGTCTTGGAAGGTTGGCAAGTGCCGAGACGGTGGGGAGTCGGGACCACCTGTGACCAGGAGATGCGAGGAGTGAATATGCGTCACTATGTAGTTTATTAAATGCACCAGTGATTTATTGAGAGAAGAGGCAAAAAGCTAACACATTCGTAGCATATGTTCAGGTGAAGTAGGTAAAGATGATGTTTTTCAACGTTCGAAATTAGAATGTACGGTTTAAGGAGATCAAGGAGACTAGAAGAATTTTACATACTACAGACTATTTGATGTAGAGAATTCAATTGTTTAATGCTCAGAAGGCCAATGTATATTGTTGGTAAAGCGCCGGCAGTGAAATACTGTTGACCGAACATGTCCGAGAAGTGTAGCTTGGAAATCCATAGATCGCAGTTAATGTGGATTGTTGAGCTGAGCTGCTCATACTTAGAGAAGCGAGAGATGAGGGATCAGATCAACTCTGAATAAACAGACGCTAAAGCACAGATATGCCTCAATGGTCGTCAACTTTCGGAAAGCCGCTGTATATCCAGATTGGCAAGTTTGAATGGGCAGGAGCAAAAGAAAGTATTGTGGCCAACAAGAGAATACCAACATCACTCCCTTCGATTTACCTCGCAACAGGATATGGTATTAGCCTAGCCTTGAAGCCAATCAAGAGCTTTTATATTGCGGGGAGCACGCGCTAGACAGAATCAAGGATAGATCGAAGCAAAAAAAGATTACATGATCGTATCTGTCAGGAGATCTGATCCGCACACCAATGAAGTCCAGAACAGCAATCCGCGCTTTGGCCTAAGGATAACAATGGACAGAAGCCAAAGATAGAACGAACATGCCAATTGGCCTCAGAACATGGTTTAATATGCGTGTGGTGGGCTCGATCTTCCAGGATCACTGTCATAGGCCACAGTATGTGCCGCTTGCCCCGTTTCTGATCGAACAGCATTTAAAGCCACACATTTTATATATTGGGGTCAACCCGATAACATCCGGGGTACTGTAGATAACTCCCAGCATGGATATTCCCCCGCATCAACGGGAGATAAAAAAAAAGCATTGCAGATACCAAGCTTCACGCACATCGGCGTGCCCCGTCTGACAAGGGTCAGGAAGCTTGATTGAAAGACATGTTTAGTGGATACTGTCAGGGGTATGTGAACGAACAAGGTTCAGCTTCAGTCATGTAGAAAGTCTATACTCCGTAAAATGATAAGAATACTTGGCAAGGACATTGAGACAAGTGTGATTGGTGTACTTCAGGGCTGCAAGGATCAGGAAGAATACCCGTAGATAATGTTATCAACGGAATCCCGGACTTTCTCTTATCTGAGTTCCGTCCTTCGGCCCCGCTATCCAGCCAATTCATCCAATGACAATCCAATTTTCAATCCGAGACGGAAGCGAGTGCAGAATCCTCGGCATTTTGATAAGCTAGGGCTATCATGGACGTGATGATTGGCTCAACAGATCCATTGATGGAGTTCGAAGGCTTGTCATTTGCCTCGTCTTCTGGAAGGGGACCACGCGACAGGGCTATCTTTGCCACAGTGCGAGATCGCGGTGGGTCCAGACGCGCAAAGAATTCTCGCGACACACTATATTAGCAGCTCCTCCCGGTCTGTGGAGCAAAAAAAAAGAAGAGAGAATGATGTGAACAGTGTCTTTGTACAATTCAATTCCTCCATCCTGATCTCCCTGGGTCTCGCTGAGCCTACCCAGCTCTTCGATTAATCCCATTTACATCTCGTCTTTCCATTCTTCACCTTCATTGGTGAGGATTCGACCAAAAAGATGCTTCCCAACTTCGCCAAAGCGTTCCGCAGCTCAAATGAGGACCTGGAAAAAGGTCCCCGGGTGAACAATTTCTCTGACACAAATAGCAATGAGCTATTCGACAACTCCAGCGATGGTGCCGTGCCCGGCGAGAGCTTCGAATATGGCGATTCGCTATACGCCAAGATCCAGCGCGTCGCTGGAAAGCTCAACATTGAGCAGCGAGGTGTCGAGCGGGTTCCGGATTCTGAGCGGAACGATACGTCCTTCCTTAATATTGGTAGCATGGTGTGTTCCTGCAATTACCTGGCGTGATCGCCGTGGCCTGGAGGCCTTTTCCACTGACCAAACCTAGTGGTTGGCCGCAAACATGGTCGTGAGCTCCTTCGCCATTGGTGTTCTTGCAAAGTCTGTATTCGCTTTGGGCTTCATTGATGCCATTTTGGTCTGCCTCTTTTTCAACCTCCTCGGTGTCATGACCGTGTGCTTTTTCTCGTGCTTCGGTCCTCCCTTTGGGCTGCGTCAAATGGTGCTCTCGCGATTTTGGTTTGGATGGTGGGCTGTGAAATTCAGTAAGTTAGCCCGGGATATCCATTGGGCTATGTATATGGAATTGTCATGCTAATTAATGATTTTCTAGTTGCCGTCCTCAACATTATCGCCTGTGTCGGTTGGTCTGCTGCCAATGCTATCGTCGGCGCCCAGCTTCTCAACGCGGTAAACGCCGATGTCCCGGGATGGGCCGGTATCCTCATCATCACATTCTGCACACTCATCGTCACCTTTTTCGGGTACAAGTTCGTTCACATGTATGAGTACTGGAGCTGGATCCCCACCTGCATCGTGTTTATCATTGTGCTCGGCACATTCGCCCACTCTGGCGATTTCATCAACATCCCAATGGGAATCGGAATCTCTGAAATGGGTGCCTGTCTATCATTTGGATCCACTGTCTATGGTTTCGCCACTGGCTGGACCAGCTATGCTGCCGACTACACTGTCTACCAGCCCAAGACCCAGAGCAGTCGCCTGGTCTTCTTGTCTACTTGGATTGGTCTGATCGTCCCCTTGTTGTTCACCCAATTCCTCGGTATTGCCATTATGTCCGCCACAGATATGGGTGACGGATATAATAACAAGTACGCCGAGGGCTACCGAGCCTCAGTCAACGGTGGCCTAATCGCAGCCGTGCTGGAGCCTCTCGGTGGCTTCGGCAAGTTCTGCCTCGTCATCCTGGCCCTGTCCATTATCGCCAACAACTGCCCCAATATCTACTCCGTCGGCTTGACCTTGCAAGTATTGGGCCGTGCTACTCAGCGCGTGCCGCGATTCATCTGGACTTTCCTCGCCTCCTGCGTCTCCCTTGCCATCGGTATCCCAGGTTACTCGAACTTCGAGGCCGTTCTCCAGAACTTCATGAGCCTCATCGCCTACTGGCTGGCCATTTACTCTGGCATTGCACTCAGTGACCACCTCGTTTTCCGACGTGGATTCGATGGTTATCGTCCGGAGGACTACGACAAACCTGATAAGCTGCCCGTTGGAATCGCTGCATCTATTGCGTTTGTCTTTGGCATTGTCGGTGTTGTTGTGGGCATGAGCCAATCGTGGTGGACCGGACCTATCGCCAAGTATGCTGGTGACCCAGCACATGGTGGTGGTGATATCGGCTTTGAGTTGGGCTTTGCCTTCTCTGCTGCAGTATATTGCGTATTACGACCGATCGAGATTCGCAAGACTGGTCGGTAAATTTGATTCTATAGTATTTAACTACTTTTTGCGATGTACATATTGGGTTGGTTTGGAGTGGGTTCATCTGTGCATTGGTTTGGTTGCATTGAATTATTATACATTGCATTGTTGCGTTACAGCATATTGTGCATCATTTTCTCATCATTCAAATCTATTTTCAGCAGTAAATATAGCAGATCAGCTTTGACCATCGATGTGAGCTTGCGTGGAACGCTATCTACATGCAAGAATAGTCGGCCACTTGTGTGGCCTTGTTAGGTCTTTTTGGATGTCTTGTCGGATATTTACTTACACGTGATTGTTTTAGTATACTTCTTCCCTTTATTGGTGCTATGACTCGAAGGATAAGAATATTAGCCGCAAATATCGAATATACCCGGTAAACCCCTCGGAAGGTGCAAATGACTTATGTATAACATTTGATACACTTCTAGTATAAACTTCGCAGTCGGACTCGGAGGAATTCAAAAAATGCCACTTGTGCTTCGGTACAATATGAAGCCGTTCGAGCGGATATGACTGTCAGGTGGCTTTGTATATCCAGAGATGACATTGGCGCGCTCGGAAACTCTTGACTTTCATTGGCTGGACAAGCCAGATGTGGGGCATTTGGACTTTCCCAATCGGGCAAGTCGATATTGAGCCTCGAGCAACTCTTTGACCTCATGAACACGGGAAACGTGCGCTTCCCACATATAAGAAGCAGAGCAAGACTCATATCAAACTAGAACTTCTCATCCAATTCTGAGCCAATTTAGCATACTTCGAACACTATACTACTCCCGGCATATCTAGCCCTAATTTCATACCTCAACTATGCCTTTCGACTATAACCCCGAAAAGGACATCCCCAATCTCTCGGGGAAGACAATCTTCATAACAGGAGGTTTGTAACCAATTCTTTCTTCTTTCTATAAGTCCACAACTAACAGCCAATTTAGGAACCGCGGGCCTAGGCGCAGAATCAGCAATCCAAATCGCCAAACACAACCCATCACACATCTACCTCAGCGGCCGCAATGTCACGAGCGCGGAAAAAGTGATCAAGCAAATCCACCAAACCACCCCAAATCTCGCTGTCACTTTCATAAAATGCGACCTAGCCTCCCTGACCTCCGTCAAAGAAGCCGCCGAGCACTTCACCAGCCAACACCGAACCCTCGACATCTTAATGTGCAACGCGGGCATTATGGGAAAATCCCCAGACCTAACGGCAGATGGCTACGAAGTCCAATTCGGCACCAACCACCTCGGCCACGCACTTCTAATCAAAAAGTTCCTACCCCTCCTCGAAGCCTCCCGCGACCCCCGTATCGTGATCCTCACCTCGCAGGGATGGGGCCTGCACCCGCGCGGCGGAATAATCTTTGACAAGCTCAAGTCAACGCAGGATATTGCGTTTTTAGGACCGTGGCGGCGGTATGGACAGAGTAAGCTGGCCAATTTGCTGTATGCGCGTGAGCTCGCGAAGAGGTTCCCGGGTATCACGTCGGTGTCTGTGCATCCTGGTGTTATACAAACGGGTCTTGTTGATGGTCTTAGCCTCAAGGATAAGATTATTGTTTATTCGTCTACTTGGCGGTCGATTATTCAGCTGCGTGAAGGTGCCTTTAATCAGACTTGGGCGGCTACTGTGGACAAGGCGGAGATTCGGAATGGGGGGTATTATGAGCCTGTTGGGAAGTTGGAGAATGGGAAGCTTAATGAGACGGCGAGGGATGATAATCTTGCGGAGAGGTTGTGGGATTGGACTGAGGAGGAACTAAAGGGATTCTAAGGAGTGGTTTCAACTGAAAGAGTCTAGACTGGTGAATTTGTTGTTCTGTTGTTAGCTTTGTATATAATGAACACTGAAATAATCTTGATTTAGAACGTTGGACCATGAAGATACTTTGTAAATCCTATTGATATTTGACTGGTTTAATCTAAAAGGGTAAAGGTAATAGTATATCATCTTAGGAAAGAAAGACGATAGATAAATTCGGTTGAAGAGCAAGGCTAGGCCCCATTCTGACAACCTTAACAATATCTTTGCCAAACCGATGAGGGATCCAAAGAAACAGGGTCCCTCCGAGATATTAGCATCCTCGTTGCAGCATATGGTCCATCGGGTTCTGCAAGCTCGATAGTCTCAAGATATAGGGGTTGACCTTCGCCAAAAATCAAGACTCCTTATCGAGAAGCATTTGTAGCATATCGACTGCGGATTCGAGAGGATGTATGTTGGTCTGTAGCGTAGTCGGGCTGATGGTGATGTCCTGAGTCAGATCTGGATCGAAAGGGAGTATATCCTCCGTACGTTTATTCCTATGCAAGTATCGCAAATCTCAGGGCGTGACCGTCAATCATGGACTCCATTGTGACCAATGAAGTAAGAAGAGCAAACCCTCCCTAGCTCCTTCAACCACTGCTATTCCTAGTACCGACCCCGGTGGCGGCAGTTCAAAGCGCTCCAAGCGCCAATAATCTTGAAAGATTCATGGTATGCCAGTGAAGTGCATTCCTGCTTGGGCTAGCTGAGGGCGTTGTGAGGAGGATACCCCGTAAGAGACTACGATCTATACTGCAGTGGGAACACTTCCGCGGAATCTGGGCAGTGGGTGTCCTGAAAGAAATATAGGATGTGTGTGAATATTATCTGCATGATACTGTCTGTATGTAACCTTTGAACCGCGTTCGAAGAGAGTTTATGCGAAGATGAAATCTCACACGAGGACTGCCCCAGCCAATGTGGTTTATTGGTTTATCTGTCGGGAGGGGCCTTCATTTCGGATGTGGCCGTCATGGTATCATGCTCAAGCAAGTAATGACCCAAGTCGGCGTTCTCTGCAGATAGAGCAGCAGCAAGGATCTCTGCGCGTGATACTCCCAACACAGCCCGAAGAGCACCATTTGGCTGCAGCTACATCGCAGCACTTGAACCGCTAATTGTTTCTAGTTTAGTTCCCACGAATGTAGCTCCAGCAGCCAAGAGGCTACCAAACAAGACCTTATCACCCAGTGTAATGGTAGCTCGAGGTATACTGTAAGGGGGGATAGTGTACCGATGCCTCATTGTGGTATGCACACGCGTCGATCAAGAGCTGAGCAACTTCGGGTGATGGCAAAGGAGAATATACGCGAGTTAATCACATGTCGATGTCGCGGAATTTGTAGTTTCGTCACGAAGTGAAGTACGAGATCAGGGCGAATGACTACTCTGCCCACGCTGTAGTTCGAAGGGAATGTTCTCTGTGTCCTCAGAGTTAACCATGCCTGGAAATTATGCTCTCATCGTTCATTTTTCCAGCATTTGGAACTCTCCAAAAATTCCATTTTATCACAAGATAATATTTAGTCCATCAAGTTATAGTTGAAACGAGGTTAAAGAGAACCTGGGAAACTTTGGTTGGGGTTATATACACCGCGCCACGTGATTTCCACCACCAGCCACAGCTGCGCCACGGTAAATTATTAAATCCACAACGGATTCGCCTTTGAAAGAAATCCAGAAATTCAGCAGCCGTAATAACACCATCACTTACACCATGTCTCCAACCGGAAAGTGAGTATACCTATATGCAGCCCTACAAGAAATACCGACCTAACAAAACTTTCTATTTTACAGCCGCGCCGACTGGGCCGACGACGAAGATTTCGATGACCCCTCCGTGCTGCCGCCGCAAGAAGTGATCGCGAACAAGGACGGCACCAAGACCGTGATTTCCTACCGCTACAACGATGACAACAAGAAAGTGAAGGTCACCCGCCGAATTAAGACTACTATCGTCCGCGAACATGTCAACCCCCAGGTCGCCGAACGCCGCAAATGGGAAAAGTTCGGTCTTGAGAAGGGCCACCCCGCCGGTCCTACGTTCGATACCACCTCTGTCGGCGAGAACATTATCTTCCGTCCCAGCGTCAACTGGAAGGCCAACGCTAAGGAGGTCGAGAAGGAGGGTGGCGAGAAGGGCAGCATGAAGGACCAGCTCAAGGACAAGAAGGTCAAGTGTCGTATTTGCAGTGGAGAGCATTTCACTGCTCGCTGTCCCTTCAAGGACACCATGGCCCCCGTCGAGGAGGGCACTACTGCTGCTGGTGGCGCCGAGGCAGAGGACGATGCGGGTGGTCTTGGTGCTGGAAAGTCCAGCTACGTTCCTCCTCACATGCGGAAGGGCGGTGCTGCTGGTGGCGAGAAGATGGGTGGTCGCTTCGAGAAGGACGATTTGGCGACTCTGAGAGTTACAAACGTATGTTCTGTCTTTGTTCTGCTTTCTACGAGCTCTACGAGCATCACGGTTATATATCTTGGTTCGGTACTGACTTTTTTCGTTGCAAACAGGTCAGCGAATTGGCAGAGGAGAACGAGTTGCGGGATCTCTTCGAGCGTTTCGGTCGTGTCACCAGAGTCTTCCTTGCACGGGATCGGGAAACCCAGAGAGCCAAGGGCTTTGCTTTCATCAGCTATGCGGATCGTGGCGACGCAGCACTTGCTTGCGAGAAGGTGGATGGCTGTATGTCTTCAATCTCCCGTTTTGTGATATTTTTTTCTACAAGTTTCTCGATTGCTAACCCGTTTTTCTGATAGTCGGTTACCGCCACCTTATTCTCCGCGTCGAGTTCGCCAAGCGCACTACTTAAACTTTTTTCTCGGTTCTCTCTTACGACTTTTTGAATGGAACTTTTCCTTCTTCTCAGGCGGGCCTATCTTTGGGCCGATGCTCTTTTCCTTGTACCGTAGGACATGGTTGATAATGATGATTCCCAAAAAGACATCCAGCATGTCAGTTACTTGCATTCGTCAGTCTATACAAAAGCAATGGGATAGAGAAATTTTGAACTTCATATACGGTTTTCTTTTTCATTCAGGGATCATATTCTCGTCCACGGTAGTAGGATTCCTTTCCAAGGTTGCTTTTTAATAAGTGTTCCAATGTTCTTCCCGAAGCTCTATGAATGCTTCACGGCTACCATGGAACATCCATAGATCTCAACCTTCCTTGAAACATGGGAAACCAACCACGTGCTTGTATGAAGCAACGACGTTCCTAGAAATATCCATGGTCAAGTCTGCTATAGTTTGCCATCCAGTATTTCATTCGTTTTTCGACTTGCGGATCTATATGGGGATGTGAAGATCATCGTTAGGTTCGACCTGCATTTGAACATTCTCCAAATATGTTAGTGCTCAAATTCTTGGTAAAAGGCCCAAGTTGTCTCAAGCTGCTAACATGATAGCAATAATAATAACCCATAGGCACAAGCCAGTATGCTGTTTACAACCTTTATCTCTCTGCTGACTTTAGACTTGAGAAATTCCCACATCTTCCCATCCTCACCAACACAAACCTAGTGCCCAGGCCGGACTCGGCTGACAATCCTGCAGGCCGTCGACGGCAAAACTGTCATCTGGAAGATAAATGTCGCAGGCCTCGACTGGTCGATGGTTCGAATGTCTCAGGGATTGCAATTGAGACATCAAATTTTCTGCATCTTCGCATGACAAGATGACATCGGAAGGAAATGAAGCTCAGACAACCTGGACTTTTTCCTAATGTGTCCTAGCGCCAACACTACAGCGTACTAGCTACGTCCCTCGGGTGCCAGATCCCAGGCTCAATCACCAAAGTACCAATGTACAGATCGACATTAGATCTTAGCAAGTCAAACACAGCCCCAGCCTCGTCGGCAAAAGTTGTCTTAAAATTTCCCGGTAACGGGATTGGGTTGCATAACGTAGTATCGGTGTTTCTTTTAGGAAAGAGACTTGAATCGGTGGGAAAAGCTTACCTACGGGTCCGGCTTTTCGCCGAATGCTCCCCTAGACAAGATTGGATACGTAGGTCCCTGTAGCTTTGGTCCTAGCTCCTTCGGAATCCCTTACCGCGCCACCATATCTGACCATCTCCACCATGGCGGTATCTAATATGACAGACCAACACATGTGAATGGCCGTTCGTGACGTTCCGAAGTATGAGTGACATTGCAGGGAATATCGGCGGCAATAAGATGATTGCACTTGTTATTGGCTGAGGGAGTTTGACCAGAAGGGCAGTTCTTCGCTGAGGGAGTTTCGGCCGATGAGCAAGTTTTGTCTTGGCTGTTCGTGCTACACGGGCACGGCCTAGGGTTGGCTAGACTACTCCCCGGATGGTTATCAAGGACTAGTGAGAATTGCCACGGGGAGGCGAAAAAAACGGCCCCATGAGTTTCTGGATGATGAGTGGAGTCTTGGAGCTGGCATCCAACGCGTCAAAGCATATTTCGCGCCTGACAAGCTTCATATCCAGAATTTTGGAGGGGCGACGAGCCAATGAGACATATTGTAATCCTTGTTTGGTTGCCTTGTCTTTCCATCCATGCCGACAGGGTCGGATACTTCAGTACTTTGCCCGGGAGCTTCGTCGTGATACGATCTGTGCTGGCGGGCTGTAGATCCAGGGTGATCAAAGTTTGGGATGACAGAGTGGGGAAAACCTCCAATGATCATCCCAGTATCGGGGCAAACTCTTCTGCTGAGTCGAGGGCGAAAGGCAATTTCCCAGTCATTCTAGCCTTTGGGCTATCAGTACTCAGATCTACTCTGAAAAGTGACAATCTCGGAAGAAGTGATACACAGGTAACCCATCACAGAACCTTGTGTCCAGACCAGGAATTGTGGAGCCATAGAGGTCTAATCTCCACGAAGTGTCAGGAAAAATTCGCTACCATTGCCATTGAACAAGGCTAGCTCGATATGGTAGTCTATATGAGAAGGTTAGATTTAGATCAACGTTCTGCGCGGCCAAGACCGGTGGA